ATGTCCTTCTTCAAACGAGGCTTGCGGAGAGTACTTAATGGTAGGCAGCGGCTTGGCTCTGCCCCTGGCATTGCTGACGTCCATGAGCTACGGTGACCACTTACCATCAGGTGGGCCGTATGCACGTCTAGGACTAGGACTAGGTCTCTTCCTACAAAGGAAAAAAAAGTGTCATTAGTCTATCTTATTGTTAGGCGTTATGCGTTCGGCTTGTTCTAGACTGTACAATCTAGAACTTTCATGAAATGAAACTTAAAAGTTTCGATTTTCTTAATTAAAATTTTTAGATTTAAATTTAGATTTTTAAATTAGATTTTGCGTGGTTAGCGCAATATTAAAAAAAAATGACAAATAAAACCTTTTTTTATTGCTTAAATGGGTGGACAAGGTTACGGCCAATTTGGTGTTAAAGCGTTACTAGAGTCGGTAGACATCAACAATGTAAATGGCGTCATTCACCTTGGGACATGAATTCTAAGTCTTAATTTTTTATAATAAACATCCTTAGTCTTCAACGACCAAGAACACTGTCAAGCCTTCGAAAAGAAGGATATAATAAAGTGACTATAAAAAATACGAGATTAAATCGTAAAAACGTCTATAATTTTGTCTATAACTCGTAAAAAATCAAAGAATATATTACAACATATCAGGTTAAGACATTTCAGATGTCAAAAATACTTATTTTTCATGATAACAGATATATTTTTAGGGGCACATTTTTACAGGGTAACCCTGTTCAAATTTCAAGGACGTCCGGGGCCCTTGTCATACACCCTGACAGCATCCTTGAGGTGTTTCATTTCTTGAATATTAAATATCACAATGTGAGCAAGAGTTTTCTTTGTAAAGGCTTTATGATCGTAATCGTACAGTAAAAACCAATTTTCAAAAGAAAAGAAGAAAGAAATATATGTTTTTTGTAGAATTTCCAATTCCGTCTATTTGTGTGTTGCTACATACATAAACGCTATAAGTTATTATTTTCTTATTATTGGCTGTATACTGACATCTAATAATAAGAGATATCTAAGCAATAAAAAAGGAGAGAACAATACGTCTGAGGTAAAAAGCGAAAAAGTAAAGTGTCTATTTTAATAATTTCTTGAATTAAGAAGAAAAATAGGATTATTTTTATGTTGACGATGTGGGGATTTTCCGACAACTTCTTAGTCTTCGTTAGACAGGATAACGTGAACACCCCTGTTCATGCTCCGATAAGAAGATTCAATTATAATACATAATAATATGTATAATAGAATAACATCTGCATGCTTGATTTATACGTCAATAAGGTGCAGTTGGTTAAAATTATCGCGAAACTTCACCGAAGGCAGCTTATTACGTTCTATGACGTCATTTGGGGTTAAAAATAAGAAGCTCCAACCATAGCTTGATTTGACGTGATATGAAAGAGTGTGAGAATTAATAATTTATAATTGTGAATGTATAATTTGAGTAATTTATATATTAGTAAAAAATGTTAATGAATCATCGTTTTTATTAATTTAAATGAACTTTCGTAATCATTTTTTAAAATTCAACGGTACAAACCATCACATCTTTAGGCTACGACTTCGTTTTCTTGTATAAGTAAATATTCGCGTATAATACGATCTTCTTTTAAGAGATACCGAAACATTGAAACAAAGCGAATATTTAATTGACACTTGAGATTAAGTTTGAGTTCAGTGACTCCTTTCGGATAAAAAAATAATTCTTTAACAAAAATAGGTACCTCTTATTTTAAATACCAGGTGTGACTTACGCTTTCACGTTCTGTAAACAAGCAAGTAATAAATAATATTTTTACAAAAAACATTTCGGTCCTTGCTCCTTTATAACAGTAGATAATGGAGGAGATAGTTTATGGGTCGAGACTGACGTATGTCGATGTTCGTCGCGCAAAACTGACACGCTTTTTAACGAAGCTTCTTATCGCAGTTTGCTGTGGGTTTTAACTGATGGAAATTGTCACGTAGCGTTATGTATCTTGCTTTATTTTCGACTTTTAGTTAGGGTTCGAAACGCCTACGAGGTGTCCGCGCCTAGGAGGCAAGCGGCGTATATGGGATATGTATCTAGCTTCTGACTTAACGCGCTCACTGATGAGCTCATGGGGCTCGATCTGAAATATTTGACCAACATCTGCTATTTAGTATGACCAGTGTTTCGATAAATCTAACCCCGGATCGGAATCGCGATCCACTGAGAAGATCCGGCGAGAAACTCGGTGTTGGGTTGACTAAGGCTGTATGGGGTTAGATCCCCTTGCCTTTCCTAATAAGGAAAAATTGTACCAAAAAAAAGATGTCTATGGGGTAATTTTTGAAATGTGCATCAACGTTCTCGGTTTTGTCTATACCTGTATATTAATACGTAAAGCAAAAACTTTGTACCCCTTTTTACGGTAATTGCGCGGACGGAGAAGTATGAAATTTCCCACACTTATAGAGAGTATAGAGAAGTAGTGCAGAATGTTAATGTTTTTTTTTAATATGCATAAAATATACATTACATCAATAAATAAAACATTACACACCTTACCATGTATTTGACACACACATACTGTTTGCTTATTGTCAAACTTTTCTTATTACTTATAGTCTATGGTCAAATTGAGAAAAATATTGTTTGTCTTTATTATTAATTGTCTAAAATGTAGTCTTGGCGAAATCTGTGATTAGGGAAGTCTTTGACAATAGCTACTGCTGGTACTCTGTTAAAACAATACTCGTAGTTAACTATACAGTTAGATTGTCTAACTATATCACTGGTGGTAGGACCTCTTGGGAGTCCGCACGGGTAGGTACCACCACCCCGCCTATTTCCGCCGTGAAGCAGTAATGCGTTTCGGTTCGAAGGGTGGGGTAGCCGTTGTAACTATACTGAGATCTTAGTACTTATATCTCGAGGTGGGTGGCGCATCTACGTTGTAGATGTCTATGGGCTCCAGTAACCACTAAACACCAGGTGGGCTGTGAGCTCGTCCATATATCTAAGCAATAAAAACTAAAAAAACTATATTACACTATAATCAAACTTAAAATTTCAATTAATTGTAGTTGAATTTCCACTATTGCGGGACCACTAGTATTGACTAATTGCCCTAAATAATTTTTTAGTATAGGATACGATTTCTTCGAATTCTTTAGTACACTGCATTGATTGCCTTTTCTGTAATACATGAAACAGCTAGATCTATTTCTGTCTCATATAGAGATCGTTTCATTTTACTTATAGATAGTCTGGTGCAAAAATATTTGTCTTAAAAATACAACAATAGGCGCAATAGGTTGAGGGGTTTCAAAGATTGTACTCCACTTTAGACTTGCTTTGTGTAACGTGAGCCCAATTGTTGTGATAACATTTCTGTAGCAATTAATTCCCTACCCCATTTTAATATAACAACGATACTTAACCAAAATTGTCTTGAAAATGCGAAAACACAAAGTATATTCCGATGAAAATATCAGCCTTCAAGCTCAAATCTAAATTTATTGTTTTTTTATTTTGCATTAATATTTATGAAAACTAAACTTAACTTTTTATATTCGTGATAAATCATTTGAGAGAGTCCATATAGAGTCCCTTCTTTATTTCGCCGTAAATTCGTGTTTTATGTAATTAACATCACAGTTGAAACAATAGAAATTTTATTGTTGTAGCGGCATAAATAATTCTAAGTTATTCTATTATATTAGTTATTAAACACATTATAAATTATTTTACGTTTTAAATTTTCGGCGGCAAAAAGGTCCCGTGTCACAGACTATACTATCTTCCCTACTTCTCGTACGTTCCGGCTAACGCATCATAAAAAGATGCGTTCTTAAACGCCACACATTAATACCGTTTTTTTTTTAAATCTGAATAAAAAATCGTTCTGAAAGTTAATAAGATTAATAATAAATGAGGATAATTAAAATAATATAATTCATCAGATGGATTCATTAGATGACGTAACACGAAACGGTTTTCCTTGAAATTTCACGAATAGTTATTCAAGTTCACATTTAATATATTCATAATGGGCTCCACCTACGCTTTTAACGAGTTATTTTTACCTTTTGGTGTTCATTTTTTCCTGTCGTGTTTCCTTTTATTATGTACGCTTAATTATAATAGTAGGAATTTTTTTAGCGAAGCAACTTCATAGCGAATGATAATGAACAGACGCTCTATATTTTGCGATCTAGTATAAGGGCGCCGGAAACAGATATGAGACAAGAATAATACATCAGATCCAGAACATCAAATGCGTTTCTAACTATAACACTAAACTATCTCAAATACAATGTGGTGTATTTAGTATATAGCCATTGGACCATACATGTGTATATGACGTTCTCACTGAAAGATAAAAAAAAACCTCAAAAACCATTTTCTACTGAAGGTTGAGAATTATTTAAGCATATCAGCTTAAAGCGAAGAAATGTCTACGGCCTAATTGATGAGATGCTGCGTGTAGGTATTTGTAACGATTTTGGGGACCGTGACGTGGTTGGTCGAGAAAAAATATAGACTCTTTTGTCCATTTACCACCAGATAGGTCGTGAGATCATTAAGCCATATATGCATTAATAGGACACCAAAGACAGCGCCCAAACAGAGAGAGAGAGAGAGAGAGAGAGAGAGAGAGAGAGAGAGAGAGAGAGAGAGAGAGAGAAAGAAGACAACAACAAAGAAATAATAAAATTTAAAACTAAGTCAACCTACCTGCCTAAAGTATGATTTCTATAATTGAGGTGACATCTGCCATGAACTTTTGTCAATTTGTCAATGTTTTGTATTGATGATCACTTTGTTGGTGCAACTTATTAAATAAATAAATAAATACAATAGGCTGTCTTATTGCTAAAAGCGATCTTTTTCATACAGTTTTTCATCTACGGAAATTCCGAAAAAGATACGCCAGTAGTATTATTACGATTTATTAACCATATTAAAAAAGATCTATGAAATATGATATAATATGATTTTATATCTTTTGTTCACAGGAGAAGAAGGATCTTGGTGAACTAATGCTGTCCTTGTGCTACTTGCCCACTGCTGGTCGTCTAACTGTCACCGTCATCAAAGGCAGGAATCTGAAGGCGATGGATATTAATGGATCTTCCGGTAAAGCTTTATAATTTTTCATTTAAGGTCTTGTTAATTGTCATCGGTAACGGCAAACAGCGAAACCGTTGTTCAAAACTTTCGTTTGACGAACTTTATCTCATACCTTTAAACGAGCAATTCTTGTATATTAATATATATGTGTATAATCTGAATCTCGGAAACGGCTCCAACGATTTTTATAAAATTTATTATACAAGGGTTTTCGGGGGCGATAAATCGATCTAGCTACGATTTATTTTCAGAAAATGTTGTTTCAATCAACTTAAACATAAAAAAAATTTTATTGAATGAAAATAACAAATAATATAATATCAATATGTAATTCGTATTCAAATATAATTTCTAAAAAACACAATTTATCAAAAAAAAGAAAAAACCGAGAAAAGCTCGGTTATTCTCTAGTATTGTTATAGTACGTCAATGGCGCATGGAGATGCAGAATTGTATACTACTGTTTGTTATTTGGTTCGTGATTTTAGGCTACGGCTTCGCTCTGCCCCTGCTGTTACTGCCGTCCATGAGTGACGGTAACCATTTACCATCAGCTGAGTCGTATGCTCGTCTATCTTCAAGGGCAAAAAACAAAATAAAAAACCTCAAGTAGTATCACCATATTATTTGTTATTTTCATTCAATAAAAAAAAGTTTATGTTCATGTTAATTATCGATAAAGTTGATTATTGAAAACACGAATAAAACAACATTTTCTGAAAATAAATCGTAGCTAGATCGATTTATCGCTCCCGAAATCCCCTGTATACTAAATTTTATAAAACTCGTTGGAGCCGTTTCCGAGGTTCAGATTATACACATATATATTAATATACAAGAATTGCTCGTTTAAAGGTATAAGATTAAAAATACAGTCAAACAATGAAGCAAACAATGCTTATAATGCAGCGGAGAGTGTGATCTCTACATTAATTAAACAATATTTATTATTCTACCTATATGCTATTTATAATATATTATTTATATTCCACAATGTAATTTCATAAATGCATAAGTTATTCTGAAAAGTGCTAATGCGTTACGTCAGATAATTTTCACTCCGACATACTAGAATGTTCTATGTTAGCGCAATAATCTATTTAACTATCATAGACGTTTTCCTAGCTCTACTGAAGCTCTGATTTGACAGAATCAATCTGAACTTTTCAGTACCCGTGCCTCGTTTTCAAAGATAAATCATAATCAAAACAAACATCGTTCGAAGTATTCCAAAGTACGTTCAGTTCGAGTTGGTCACGTATGCCCTTCATCACTCATGATCAAACTTGTCGTTCTGACCTGCTCGCACTTATTAATCTTCCAGAGTACACGAGCAAGATAGATTTATAAGTAAAATCGATAATGGAGTTTTATTGTTACGGGAATTAAGATGTATTGTTGTGATATTTTTCTGTAGAAGTTCTTGTCTGTCATTAAGGTACAGAATAAGAATGAGCCTACGACCTCATTGAGATGTCTCTCAACAGACAATACTGATGGGTTCAAGCTACATACATATTGTTTGCAAAAGATATTGGTTTTAATTGAATTTCATTTATTAATATTGTTTGAATAACAAATAAAACGATAGGACCGATACGGATACAGTTTTCAGCAGCTGTAGGTTCGTTTTCGCATTTCGTTGATGTTCTGATTTAAAATAAAAAAGAACAAAGCTATTAATTAAACTTATTTGTTAAAAATTAAATTAGGAATGATTTTCTTTCGAAAATTAACAAAACTGCACGAAGAATTTTCTTCATAAAGGCACGATCTCGGACGAAGATATAAAACCACAAATGCTGTTTTATGTAATAAATTTCCCAATTATTACCACAGTTTGTAGTATTGTTTATTCTTCTAATGCATGCATTTCCCAATTATTATCACAGTTTGTAGTATTGTTTGTTCTTCTAATGCATGCATTTCCCAATTATTATCACAGTTTGTAGTATTGTTTGTTCTTCTAATGCATGCATTTCCCAATTATTATCACAGTTTGTAGTATTGTTTGTTCTTCTAATGCATGCATTTCCCAATTATTATCACAGTTTGTAGTATTGTTTGTTCTTCTAATGCATGCATTTCCCAATTATTACCACAGTTTGTAGTATTGTTTGTTCTTTTAATGCCATCTTCAAACATAGATCGGTGATCATCAAGATTGACGACAGTGTAACCTTTGAAGTCAATACGCTATTTGCTTTTGAATTAGCTCGGTATTTTCAAAGTTGAGAATTCGTTTAAATGAAAGTTTCCAGTCAAATTTCGTGCAAAACTTATTTATTTATTTCATTATTTTTCATTCCAACAACAAGTACAGAACCTGCTCTGATCTTTGTCCCATAAAAACATCAGGCAGCCGAATGAAAGATGTCGGTGACCTCAACAATGTTCCACTTTATACCAAGAGTGGTTATTTTGTAGCCTAATTTCTTATTTTCGATGAATCGGCGCGTTAAGTAAACTAGTGCTGGTCTGATAATCGAAATTCGACCTAAATAACTGGCACTTCAAGATTTCGATCCAATGTATGTGTTATTTTTGTTTCTTTCGTTATTGGCATTAGGAGAAAAAAAAAATATTAAAAAAATTCAAGATTATGGCTCGCTAATAACAACTAAACAAAATAAGAAAAGAAAATCTGTTAACAAATAAAGAAGAAAACATTCTTTGATTCGTATTTGTACAATCGTATTTATCTCTTTTATTTTTCACATTTGCCATTATTGTATTGTAGTATTGTTTTATCCACACGTTCGCGCATAGCTGGAAGAGTTCCTTAGGCTAACAGTGGATAGGCAGGGGTAATAAATTTAAGAAACATATTGTACATGCATACGGTTGCGCGCTGGGGTTCGGGATAAATAAAAAGATCCACCAAAGTAAAATTTAAAACTTTATTTGCACTTAGAACACTTAAAACACTTCACAAACATTTTAAAATTCTCAATTCGCTTCTTTCGCTTCGCTTCAGGTGATTCGTTCGCTGTTTCGCTTCGAGTAGTTCCGATCACTGACTGGCTGCGTGCCATCGTTTCAACGCTTTTATAGCCGATACTAAATCCCTAGAATTGTCGAGAATATTCCTCACAAGTCGAGTATTTTCAATGTGTGTTTCCGCTATCTGACAATAGATGGCGTTGTACTACTAGAGTGTTCTAGATCTTACTAGATACTTTGATTATTGTTTCAGCTATTCGGCGATAGATGGCCTTACTCTTACCGGCGTAACAATACTACCACTAATAGATTTGAACGGTATGCTCCGTGAATGCAATATGTTGTGTAACGTTTGACAGACTGGCATTATATTTTTTTGCCCATGGAGGCAGACGAGCATGCGGTTCACCTGATGGTGAGTGCTTACCGTCGCCCATGGACTTCAGCAAAGCCAGGGGCAGTGCCAGGCCTATCGCAAAATATCGCTCATAATATGACCACTTAGACTATCCTTTTTTACAAGTAAACTTGTTTGTGTGATTTTATCGGTACGTTTTCGCCTATAAAGACAAAATAAATGTTCCGGTAAGAAACAGATGCTCAATCTCTACAACCATTTGTAATTTAGAGAGTATAGCATTTACATATCAACGTACGAGAAAATGTTTGTAATTTATCGGTAATATAAATTATGTAACGGTAACAAGGTGAAAGTAAAGGGTAATAAGGAAGTTATTAAGAATCGCGGAAGATTGTTTGATCTCCCTTGAAATGCACATATTTGAATTATTTATGGATAGAGCATGTTGAGTTTCCGAATGAGTTTGTACCTTTTAAGGCTTTAATTAGGGAAGAAACTTTATCGATGTCTCTCAAGGGCAGGTGGGAAAAACAAGGCTTCTCAAAATTCATAAACGCTAAAGGAGGTAGGACCTCTTGAGTCCGCACGGGTAGGTACCACCACGCTGCCTATTTCTGCCGTGAAGCAGTTATGCGTTTCGGTTTGAAGGGTGGGAGAGCCGTTGTAACTATACGGAGACCATAGAACTTATATCTCAAGGTGGGTGGCGCATTTACGTTGTAGATGTCTATGGGCTCCAGTAACAACTTAACACCAGGTGGGCGGTCAGCTTGTCCACCAATACAAGCAATAAAAGTTACAATGGCTGCCCCGCCCTTCAAACCGAAACGCATTACTGCTTCACGGCAGAAATAGGCAGGGTGGTGGTACCTACCCGCGCGGACTCACAAGAGGTCCTTCCACCAGTAATTATGCAAATTATAATTTTGCGGGTTTGATTTTTATTACACGATCTTATTCCTTCACCGTGGAAGTCAATTGTGAAAATTTTGTTAAGTACGTATTTCATTAGAAAAATTGGTACCCGCCTGCGGGAATAATCAGGGTCTTATCCCTTAGGCCACGTCTACTTTTTAGATATATTTTACATTTATATTTGGATATAAACGTAACCGTTTTTTTTTTTCGAAAATAGATCCATACGTGAAGATCTGCCTGATTTGTCAGAACAAGCGCATTAAAAAGAAGAAGACCACAGTTAAGAAGAATACCCTGTGCCCGGTGTATAATGAAGCTCTCGTCTTTGATCTACCGTCTGAGAACGTCTTCGACGTGACTCTGCTCGTAAAAGTTATCGACTATGATAGGTAAGAGCAAATTGTCCAGAAGGAACCGAAACAAAAAAATGGATTGTGTGGTTTTTATCAAAACCACGGTAAAAGTGAAACTTTTTTTCACATTAAGACATTTAACTCTGTCAAACAACATTTACATTAAACACTGACAAAAACAAACAAAATAGCGTGGAGCACTGGCACAAATGAGTAATAGTCTATAGTAGTCTATACAGTACACGGTCAGCTGCTGCGAAATATAGGCGCCGCCATATTGGCCTTGGCTGCTCTAACGAGCGCCTTTCACTTTATCCCTACTCCGCGGCCGACCGTCACGCGACATGCAACACACAGACGAAAAAGTTTGAGACGATGTAATAAAAGTTTCACTTTAAAATGTATTATTTTTATTGCTTAGATGGGTGGCCAAGCTCACGGCCCAACTGGTGTTTAGTGGTTACCGGAGCCCGTAGACATCTATAACGTAAATGTCGCCACCCACCTTGAGACTTAAGTTGTAAGGTCTCACTTTTAATAGTTCAACGGCTGCCCCACCCTTCAAGCCGAAACGCATTACTGTTTCACGGCAGAAATAGGCAGGATGGTGGTGATACCTATATATGGAATTGAATAACCATGCTTAGCACGCATTTATTAGGTTAATCTGTACCTGTTTATGTAATGGATATTTCCATGTTTTTTTCACGATATTAAAGATGTTCGATTGATTTTAAAATTTGCATATACATATATCAAGAATCCATGACAATATAACACTTTTTATTATGTTGTGTGTTGTATTTCTGACTAGAGTATCTCAGTTAAAAAAAGAAGACTATTATCATTATTAGTTTAGAAACTACATACATATTTCTGCTCATGAGGCAACAAAAGAATTTGTTATTTGTTATATTGGCCTGCAATAGAAAAATCCTTAATGAAACTTAATAAAATAGACGGATTATCTCACAGACTCAGCCCCAACGAATTGATCGGATGCACGGCCATCGGGTCGTCTTTGATTGGAATCGGCCGCGACCATTGGCTGGAGATGCTCGACAACCCCCGCAAGCCGGTCGCCCAGTGGTATCCTCTAAACAAAAGTCTACCAACTAACGTCTCCCAACCAAACAAAAATGATCAGAATGCAGGTCTGAGCTGTTTAAATGGAAGGTAAGAATTAAATCGTTAGAATTTTAGGTTAATGATTCATCTAGAATAGGAACGTTCACTAATTATATGTTGTACATATATTGTAAATTAGCTCTTTTTGCGAAAAAGGGGTAGAGCATTTTTTTTATTCTTGATTAGACCATCGTAGTTTAATTGAATCATTGCATTCCTCATTAAAACTATTTTTGGACATGACATGACATGATTGATGACATGCAATATTGTGATGATTAGGCATGATGTCCCAAATCAACAAATTGTTCTTATCGTAGTAGCACTGATGTTTCCTCAATTACGTTCTTTTTCTTAAATTGTTATTGTGGCGAACCTAATTGTACTTGTGGTAAAAAAAGGGCTGCACCGGTCGACATTAAAATGTAACACTGCATTAAACCGGTTTGAGGCACGAGACAGATGTTTTTACAATACAATGAAAAAAAAAATGTGTGGTGTCCTGGGACACCGGATAGGAACGAAGTTCCTTATAAAAATATTAATTTTCTTCTATTCAAGGTATAAAGAAAATATTTTTTTGGGTATACATTTTTTATTATGATTTTTTATTGATAAAAGAAAAACTACTTTACAAAGTTATCAACTTTATTTTATTCACAATGATTTATAAAAAATATATAATAATAATATACAGAGAAGCAGCTATTTATATGAATAATAATAATAATCGCCATCACGTAGACATTAGACACTGTATAGCCATCATACTAAGACATAAATCATAAAAATCTTACGTTACGGACGTGTTGAGTCCCTATAGACGTTTTTTCACGGGGCTGGCGGCATTCACTTTTTGAAGCAATTAGGTTCGGTAATCCATTCTGCAGTTCGAGGGAACTTCGAGTTCCACCTGTGTATGTTATTGTACGAGCAGCGAAATCTGTACGTTGATTTTATAATAAGTGAAACTCATATTGCTAATTAAAAACATACATGGAGCGCTGTCGTACGTAAATAGTATTCTACTATGATAGCTTACGTTGACTAGAGCGAACTTAACTCTACCAAAATTAACTCGCACTATTGGTAGGACCTCTTGTGAGTCCGCGCGGGTAGGTACCGCCGCCCTGCCTATTTCTGCCGTGAAGCAGTAATGCGTTTTGGTTTGAAGGGTGGGGCAGCCGTTGTAACTATACTTGAGACCTTAGAACTTATATCTCAAGGTGGGTGGCGCATTTACGTCGTAGATGTCTATGGGCTCCAGTAACCACTTAACACTAGGTGGGCTGTGAGCTCGTCCAACCATCTAGCAATAAAAAAAAAGAAGAAAAAAAACAAAATGTATTAAAAAAAAATTAAGGATGTGTCAAATCAGTTTCTGGTTCCCACAACACAAGGCATCCTAATTTGGAGCCGGATGAATGTGTAAAACAAAATATATCTAAATATATATTAATATTATTTGAGATTAAAACGCCGCTGAATATTTTAAGTTAAATTATAAAGAGAGCTATCATCAATAGAGCAAATACTTTTGCATCGTATGAAAATGTGCTTTTCACGAGAACGATTGCTTTTTATTCTGCTAAGCTGCTTTGTAACTTTGAATGAAAACAATTGTTTTAGAGTTCAAAGAGTCCTCTCACGCTCATAAGCTTTGATCGAACTTTTATAAGCGAATGAAATTTTGTTTTCGTGATTTTTATGAACGTTATTTTTTTTATACAGTGAAAATAGTATCGTTAATTTTACAATCATTATTTTATTTACTTTGAACATTTTGGATACGCACTCAAACACTAATAGAATTTACTATGCTTAAGTTCACAATATGATTTTAGTAAATATAGAAGGAAAATCGATCAATCCACAATTCAAAAACATTCTAAGTAAATACGTATAGCTTTTTATTTATTCAACTAGCTGACCCGGCAGACTTCGTAGTGCCTCAGTCGATAAATAGCAGACCTAAACATTTGTATAAAATAAACTTAAAACAAACAAAAGGAATCCGTCTGACGGGGGACACATCAAAGAAAAAACAAAATTGTTATTTTATTTTATTCCGAGCATTTTCATATTTATCTAACTTTTAAGCCTTCTCTGGACTTCCACAAATAATTCAAGACCAAAATTAGCCAAATCGGTTCAGCCGTCCTCGAGTTTTAGCGAGACTAACGAACAGCAATTCATTTTTATATATAGAGATTGTCTGAATTCTAGTCTTTCTAAGTGTTATACATACTCCATTAATTTTTTTCTTCACAGATGAAGAGATCAAGCGATGGTGGTTGATAGACAAGTCGTCACTTGGCAGACAAATACGCGGGCTTAATTGGTTAAAATGGCAAAATCTCACGATGCCAAAATCTTTATATATAGTAAACATTGATTACATGAAATGACTGTTTGTCCATTTACCGTAGATGAAAACATTAGAAGCGACGTTAAGTTGTTCCAAAGTAGTCTAGGAATGTGTTAAAGTAGAAAAAGATAATTAATATTTGTTTTAATTGTAGCGTAATAATATGTGTAACTGTTTTATTGCCGTTTTAGGATTGTAACTTCTTTTCGAATATCTTCAGTCCTGATTGTTAGGAATATTGAATTATGTATAATTGTATTCTCTGAATAATTTTCCCTGATATTCGGATGTATTTTATAAATATGGTACTAATTCTGGCTGCGTGCATCACTAGATTGTTGTGACGTATGTTAATTAAAAGAAAATCATACATTTCTACAACAAGCCCCCAACTCATATGAGATGTTCTCGTGGAAATTTCTAGGTCGCATTTTCCTGAACAAAACTTACCTAGTAATGCATTCCAGTAGCTAATGTGGTCCAATTCGACTAATTCGTAATCCTGTGCTATGAATGTCTTCTTTAATTCGAATAAAGACGAAAGGTATTTTTAATGGCGGCAGTACCTCTTCTGAGCTTGTACAGGTAAGTACTCTGTCTATTTCTGCCGCGAAGCAGTAATGCGTTGTGGTTAGGAAGGTAATTATGTTTATAGGGTCTGCTAATCTCAAAATCGGGAAATCAAGTAGGTCATGAGTTCATCATCAATGTAATAAAAGTATACATATTTATTGTGGTCTCTTTTCAAATATATTCGTTTCATTCAATAAAAATAGATTTATGTATTCTTCTGTAATATGAACATTTTGATTGTAGCTTTTGGGATTGGATCCATTTCACCTGAAAGTTATTGTACAAAAGCACCTTTAACCCGTGACTTTATACTATTTCGTGTATATAAAATTTTAAAATACTAACATTGTAAGCATGTATTTAAAAAAAAAAAGAATCTCATATAAGATTGTTACAATTTCAATATGATTGAGAAACTATGTTGGTTTATTAATTTTTTATTTTAAGTAATGTTGAAAACATTTGATCAGAGGACAATAAAGTAGAAAGATTAGAAAAGATATTTTAAATGAGATGAAAATTATGACACAACTTAGAAGACCGTTTTTGTTACACAAATCTTTGTAAAGTGTAAATGGAGCTTTAAATCGTGTTTAAAATATAGAAAAGACTTTGAGATAAATAAATATAATACCGAAGGTTTCTGAACTTAAATTGGGGAAAAAAAGAAAATGAGTTATTAGTTTGAGTTAAATTTCAATTTGAAAAAGATAAATCTATTGTCAATTGTATATTAATACTGATGCATAAAAAATATCATTATTAAAACATATCGCATCTATAGTATATGAAATTACTATATTCATATGTTAATGGCAGGTTGTCAAAAAGAAAACCCCAAAACTGTTACTACTGTTAGATTCGTGGTTAGATTCTTTCCTTAATGATATTGGATTTTTTTTTAAATTAGTGTTGTGTAAAATTATATTAATTTAAGTATATAAATTGGGAATTTAAACGTAACTTTACTTAAAATGACAATCGGTGAGATTGCTGCCATTGTCATTGCCAAAAAAACCTAATTGTTTTCCTTATTTTTTGAAGATCCTTTTTTTAAATAATATTTATTGTCCACTAAAAAGTTGGTTATAATGATTGAATTTTATTAAGATTAACATTGATTTCTCAAAAAATACTAATATTAATCACATCGCACTATATGTTTTGATAAATAAATTCTTTATAATTACTGGTAAAAATGTTATTGCTCGATATTAAGATATATTATCGCTGTTGGTACTATTTTCGATGTGTATCAATAATGTTTATGTTTAGTATATTAGTATTTTTAAATGTAAACTTTTCTACTGAAAACTGCATTCAATGATTTTAATTGTATCAAAGATGACGAATTCCTAACGCCATTAACAATTTTTTTTTTAAATAAATAACATTAATGTATGATAAAACTATGATCCAATCATATTTTTTTCATAATGTCAATGATTACACATACCCTGCGCTTTTGCCTGCGTTAAATTTTCAATTAATGAATAATAAATTAAAAATACCTTGCATTTTGTCGGGATAATCTTTTTGCTTATATTACTCTCTAGAATCAATGAAACACAGATTCGTCAATAACCGCTTTATTTGTTAAGCCCAAAATGTTGTGAGAATTTTTATCATTGTTTATCAATGGTTTATTGAGTCTACAGCGTCATTGTAATTTAAAAACTGATATAATTTTCATTAGTAGATTAGTATTGTGAAAAATACCTCCAACATTCAGACTCTATGTGCTTCCTGGTGGGATTTCTTTAACTAATAATTTTACTGTAAACTTCAAGTCATTTAAAAAATGTTCTTGTGAAGGTAATCTGTAATTTCATCTTCGGAATCTCCGAGAGGTTTGGACGGATAGCTATTTTTGTATGAGATTAAAATGAAATATTTTGTCGTACTAATTATCTATTTAAGTCTTTATACTGTAACTGTTTAGATTTAACTAATTGTATGTATGTAGTACTTGTACTGGTTTATGAATAAAATGTTGAAATTTTGAAAAAAATAATCGAAAGACTTTTAATTTATCTTTCCTCTTTGTTTTCTTAACATTTTATTCTAAGACAAATATGTCATTACATCACTTCCAAAGAGTAAGTCAAGTCAAGAACTGCAATGAAATCGAAAGAATTCTGAGAATTTGTTCAATCAAATTCAAAGAACAACATGTCGATAAAACAATTCAAATTCATTTATTTTCTATTTTATGCTCATTCGTAATAATAATTTTTTTTATATAGTAATTGAAGAGGATTTAAAGAAGTCCTTAGCGCGCTCTTGGTTCGTAAATTCTTGACACTATTATAGTACAATAATCTGTATGTACCGAAGCAATAACGTCTTGTAAATTTAGTGTGATTTGATTTGAATTGGAATTTGATTTGGGAAAGAGTCCGTCTTGAGTTTGACAAGATGGGTGTTGGAATTCACGTTTTGCGGTCCATGGGCTCCGGCAGCCACTCAGCATCAGGGGGGCCGTGAGTTTATTTATTTATTTTTATTTATTTATTTATTTATGTACACATAAAAAGGAAGACATAGTACAGAGTAATAGGAAAATTATGTACAAAGACACTGCTTATTTCTTTAAGAAATCTCTTCCAGCAGACCTGCGAGAGGATTATGAGAATAATAATTAAAAGTGATGAGTGTGTGTAGAACAGCTAAAATAACAAATACAACATGAAAATTATAGTAATGCACATACACATAGCAAATATTGTTAAACTTGAATACAAAATATTATAAGTAACACAGTATATACGAAGAGTATAGAACAATGATCATTCGGTTGATGAGAGATAGAATTGTTTGACCTTGTATTTAAAAACAGAAACAGACTTGCAAACTGGGATGTCAGCCGGCAACGAATTCCACAGTCTGACCGCGTGCACAGTAAAGGAGTGAAAATAGAAATTCGTTTTGTGGGAAGGGAATAACAAGACAGAACGTTGGTTGGATCTGCAGGGAGCATCAGGAGAACGAATGAAAGAGAATCGCTCACGTAAATATAAGGGAGAAGTGGGCTTATGAGTTTGTTCTGAAAAAACTGTCTTGTGACCAACAGATTTTTTGATTTTAATGTTACATTGACTTTTGTCACTGATGGTAGCCCCTGAAACAATATTTGAGTTAATCTTGACACAAAGTAGTTGGGTAAGAGTTTATTTAAAAGAAATAGATAGTTGGTTTTTTTGCTTTCCGTTTCTGAGTCTACAGACACAGCGAATACTGTCTTAATCTTCTGGAACGAACAAAAAACTACAAATGTTCTACTAAAACTATTAAAAGATTAGCCACTGGAAACGAATTCGGGGTAGTTTTGCATCTCGAAGTCAATAAATCCGGAGTTACTTACCTTTAAGCAGTGGACGCTCCTAATCCTATAAAATAGGGTAATTCTCATTCAGCACACGCTATTCAATGTTTAAGCTGAAATTTTCGGAATGAACAAATGTAATTTAGGCACGAGCCGTACTGAACACATTGAATTTAAATTGAATTCCTGTGATCGGTCTCGCTCCAATATATTTCAATTGTCGAGGTCTCAAATCTTGTATCCAAGTAAATTTGTACGATATATTGTATACGCAAAGCCTACCGCGATTCTTGCTCGGTACAAAGTACCCCTTTTAATATATTAGATACTATACTATAATCTATAATCTTATAGTACACATCTATATACTATAATCTTCTAAGCATCCTCATAGAATTTTCGGACTGTATTAGCTATATACTATAATCTTCTAAACATCCTCGGATTATCGGACTGTATTGAATATCGAAGGGCTTATAATTCGACGAATGTAAAAACCAATATGACTAGTAAAATGTTAGGGTTGCCACTTCTTATCAAGTCAAATCACGCTATATTTGATTACATACACAGATTTCCCGTGCGGTGAATTATCGGCAATCTCGGTGTGGAAGATTTAAGATCTGTGCTCTAATATTAGGCCTAAAAAGCCTTCACCTGCGAAATTTTACCTACCGCTTAGTATACAAAAAGCTAAAGTTTTTTTTCTATAAAATTAAACTACGCACCCGTCACATCGATGCATCTCTGCTGGTGCTGTAGTAATTATTCAATGCCCTTTTTGAAAAATATCGGTTTACGAGACCCAACAAACTCTTGAAAAGCATTCTGTACAGCCTGTCGGGTATAGAATTTTTTCCCTGTCAGCTCGTCCAAGCTTTGGAAAAGTTGACGTCTGTTGGCGCAAGGTCTGGTGAGTACAGTGGATGACGTAAAGCTTCCCAAGCTCTTGTAGCTTAGACTGTCGAGGGTTGTCGTGTAGGAGCAGTGGGAACGAGCAAACTGGTGTTAGTACCTCTTGTGAGTCCGCACGGGTAGGTACTACTGTCCCACCTATTTCTGCCGTGAAGCAGTAATGCGTTTCGAGTTGAAGAGCGGGGTAGCCGTTGTAACCATACTGAGACCTTAGAACTTATATCTCAAGATGGATGGCACATAGATTTCTATGGGCTCTAGTAACCACTTAACATCGGGGGGCTGTGAGCTCGTCCACCCATCTAAGCAATAAATAAATAAAAAATTAACCAAGGTTGGCCGGAAATTCGCTAGCTCCCCCGTCATTGTATCCAGTTCCTCACAGTACTCATCCGTAGTAATATTGGTGGCATTTGGTAAGAAGATATGGTGAATTATACCGGAACTGGATCTCCATGACCATGTGACCATTTAGGGGTATGTTTTCGTTTGAGGTATTATCAAGGTGCTGAATCAGAGTCTAACCAATATGATGACAAGTGATGGCAAGTGACAATGTGATTCAAAATCCCTTCCTTTCTGTGGCTGTTAGCAATACCACGCTTAACTTCACGCGTTCGCGTCGAACGCTTGGTTATGCTTTGGTAAAGGTTATGCTTTGGTAAAACTAGGTAAAGGTATGCTTAGGTAAAGGGAAAAGGTAAAGGTAAAGAGCTAGGTAAAAAGGTATGCTTTGCTAAAACTTATTTTTCTTTTTCTTCTTTTTTCCTTGCCAATTTGACGCAAAAAATGAACGACGAAAACGAGTATACGGCTCACCTGATGGTAAACGTATGCAATGACCTGACGTCAGCAACGCCAGGGGCAGAGCCAAGCCGCCGCCTACCATTGTTGGTCAATGTACCAATGTTGTTCTGATGCTAACGTTGAAAGCTGTATTTCAAGATCATTGCTGACATTTACGTTGGGAGATCTACGAGCTAAGGTTACTATTTTCTATCAAAACGGACGTAAGCGAATCTGTTGAACTTAAATAGTAAATTATACAAAATGTATCGTGTACTTTGACAGAGCTTTCAATAAATTTGATGAGCGACCGATGGTGGTTATTTTTTTTATCACTTATACAATGACAATGTTTTATAAATATGAATCATTTAAAGAGTTGTATTCTAATCGTTTTCGAGAAGAATTTTCATGTAGACCTAGTTCAACAACGAAGTTCATTGAACTGTTTGATATTTTTTTTCAGAAGAAAACTTTCGTGAAATTCATTTCGCCAACTTCTCGGGGTGGCTGCTCATGACGTATGTACGTTCGTTTTATTTTTTTTATTTCACTTGGGAAATTAGTTTTGGTTCGAAAAATTCACAGAACGCGCTATTGAGATCAACTTTCTGTAGTTCCGGGCGACTTTCGGTCATTCACCTTTGTTAATAAAATCTAACAAGCCATTGTAAATTCACAAATAACCTAAAGAGCCCTGATTAATATTTTAGATACTTTTTGGTATTTCTTTTTATGATTTATATGTGCATGTTGAGCACTCTGGATCCAAACCAGCCTTTAGGTTAAGATAATTTTGATGTAAATTTTGAGTTATGTTTTATTATTATTATTATTAGATTTTTTGTTTTAATTATTATTATTATTCATTTTGTTTTAGGCCGAGATTGTAGTTATTATTTTTATTTAATTCTAGTATAAATGAAATGTTAATGAGTGTAATATGGATGCAAAATCTGAAGTAAATGAAAAAAAAAATAGCGAACGTCACTGAGCACATGATAGCTGTTATCCGTCTCGGCGGTCATGGCATTACAATCGACTTTTCATTTGTATCGACAAACGGATAAACTAGCCAAAAACTAGTGCGTCACTAGTGACATATCTATATATAAATACGTGAAGCAAAAACTTTGTATCCCTTTTTACGAAAATTGCGCGGAGTATGTAATTTTCCACACTTATAGAGAATATAGAG